GTGGCGCGACTCGTTAAAGGTTTGTGGAGGTGACAATGAAGAAATATGGTTTGATAAATTGGTGGAGTGGAGATTAGAGGAAAGGAAATAAACTAAATTTTGGACAGACAATTAAGCTAGGGAGGAATGTTTAGCAGTTTCCCAACTGAGGTTGTTTTTAAACTCTAAACAAAAATGGGAATCAATTGCCAATATTGGCCAATGGATTGATGGAAATTAGGTTTTGACATTAAGGTGACATAGAACTTGGTTTGAAAGTGAGCTTAATCAAGTAGAATCATTACAACATGTTCTTTATAATTCAATTTTGAGAAAAAATGAGACTAACTCACGGTGCTGGAAGCCTAGAAAATCAGGGATTTTTACTATAAAATTAGCATACTGAGCTCTTCATTCTAAGAGGTTATAGATTCAGGTGGAGCAAAATTTTATATAGATATGGAATCTACCAATCTTGCCTAAGTTTTCTGTGTTTGTATGGAGGCTATTTAACAAAGGAATAACAACAACATATAATTTTGTAAGGGGAAATTTGGCATTGAATCCTTAACAGATTCTTTGCCTTTTCTACAAAATTCTACCTAAATCTTCCTCACATTTTTTCTTTACATGTCACTTGGTAAGTGTTGTGGAAACAATGGAATGCATGGATTAATTGTCCCTTACCCTTGTCCTAACACATTGAACAACACTTCAACTATATTGCGGGTTATATAATAACTAATTTAAAGGTAGAAAGCTAACAGGTAAGGTGGTGTGCTACTACTTGGTGCATTTGGAGACATAGGAATCAATGTGTTTTAATGGGGGTTATTTCATCAAGAAACTTTGCTCAAAGTCATCTTATTCTCATATTTGTCTTGGTTACATACATTGCAGCACCATTTCAATTACTATTTTTTCATAATGGTGCTCTAACCCAGGACTTTGCCTTCTTAAAGGAAATTAACATCTAGAGGGCTTTTGTTAATAATATGTTTTGGCATGAGTGATTTATAGGTGGTATTTGCTTATTTTCTCATTATATAGTAAAAAGGGTTTACTTTTTAGGAGAAAGGATTTATTCTATATTTTTTGTAACAATTTTGACTTTGTATGGGTTGGATACTCCTTATACCTCTTATTTTCTCTTTTAATATGTATCTTTTTTGTTATTATTAAACAATACAATAGTTGTAAAAGTTACACCATTGTAATTTGATCATCCCTATATAATAATTTATACATGATATAAAAAGTTATAATTTCCAAAATGTTTTTGATAAGTGAATATTAATAAAAATATAAATGAATATCTATATTTGAAGAAAACCTAATTAATTAAATAGAAACATTGGATCTTACTTTACAAGTTACCTTAATCTAGTCCAATTTATATGCTCTAAAAACATGCTTTCTCAATAACGACAATTGATCTATATAAATACATTACTTATAATAGTTATACTTAACCCGATATTTGTGAGGTTAACAAACTTGACACTTAATGCATTTTGTTTATATGACAATGAATGTAACAACTCTTTCCATCAATTATTCTCTATATAAGGGAACTTTTCTATGGTATCCATTCTATACATTTCTTATTTAAAACTTGTTTAGATATAAGTTAGAAATATTTTTAATAATTTCTCTATAAAAATAAAAAGATGTTGTTTTCAATAAAAAAATTCTCAAAAATAATTCTAAACTTATATTCAAATAAACTATTAACAGACATTAATTTTTACCTCGAAGTCTCTACATATGTTATCATTAAAGATTTTTCAAGATTATCATCATCACTACATGTATGTTACCATAAAGGTTACTATAGAAAAACTACCTCTTAGTCAATGTCATAACACATTTGCTAACTTATCTTCGTTTATATATTTTTAGTATGATTATATTGAGTAAGCTACACCTTAATTAATTAAATGCATTTTTAGAAAGAAAAAAATTATAACTTACGAAAATAGTTTTTTCTTAAAAATAGGTAGACATGTGCTAAAAATCTCTATCAAGTTAGTTGACGAACATCTCCTATTTTTTTTTATAAAAATGATTTTAGCAAGTTATTTCCTGTATGTTATAAAAGTTATCAGATGAGGAGGGTTGAAAAAATATATACAAGTAACACCAACATAATATAGTCATACATCATAAAACTTAGAGATATTATTATCATACATCGTAAAAATCGAAATGCATAGGAAGTGTCATAACGTTATAATAAATAGAGCTAATAAGAACTAACAATTAGGTCTAACAAACTAATAACTAACCAATTATTCTGGCAAACTAACGACTCTTAACATATGTCTTTTTTGAAAATAAAAGTTATAACACCCCCCCCAAAGTATATTGGAAAATCTCTTTAATTATTGAATTTGAGTACCCAGAATTGAAAAATAGAAATTCTCATTACCAAATCCAATAGAAAAATGACTTGGAATACCAAAATTTAACTCAACCAACAAAAAAGAAAGCAGTCAAAATAATCTACATACATACATATATATATATATATATATATATATATATATATATGGCCAAGGGGTGCACTAGGGTTTTTTCCTAGGTCAAGCCTCAAAGTCAGAGCATTCAAAAGTGTAATCTGCCATCACAACTCTAGGATTTTTAGTCTTATAGTTTCTCGTTTACGGGCCTCATGGGCCCCGAGAATGTAGGAATTTCCTTAACCGTTATCATTTTGAAAATATTTGGTGGATGTGAGGATTATAGATAAGATCTTGGTCAGGATTCTCCATTCCGAGGGACTGATCGGGCCTTGGCCGAATGGGTCCTCTAAACTGGGGAATTCTGGATATGGGACCAAGCTGGTTCCCGCTGAAAACATCACTCGGGCGTAGACCGAGTGATCTGGAGAGAGGGGGTCGGCCGAGGTCGTGGTCGGCCTATCACCACGGAGAGGGTAAGGTCGGATCCCGATCAGGATCACAACCCGTTGAGGGAAAGAATTTGGAAAATAGCCGAGACAGTATACTCATCGGAGCTCGGCCGAGAGACTCAGTCAGAAATAAGCCGAGACAGTACACTTGCCTTCCAGCCTTGAGCCTATGAGGCGAAAAGGCTAAAGTAGCTGTCTCTGAGTCACATCGGAGCTCAGCCGAGAGACTCAGTCGAAAATAAGCCGAGACCGTACAATATATATAAGACAACTTTTTCCTGTGGATTATGTACAGAAAATGATGTTTTTACATATTAATACAACAGTTCTTCAGTATTTCTTTATCGGTCAATGAAATTATAAAAAAAAAATACACAACTAAGTCTCTGCGCTTTCTCTATTTCCTTTTCAGAATTTCTAAACAAAATAGTGTTCTTCAGTATTTCTTTATCGGTCAATGAAATAAAAAAATACACAATTAAGTCTTTGGGTTTTCTCTATTTCCTTTTTAAATTTCTAAACAAAATAGTATTGAAAAGGTGTAATTTTTATTTAAATAAAATATTTATAAAGAATTTGAAATTTAAGTATTCATAAAAAATTAAAATAAAAAAATTTTAATTCTAAAAAAAAGTAAAAATTTGAAATTTGAAATTTTTTTTATCTCGCTTGTGTATCTTTTATCACTTTATTTTTCATCTCTCTTTATTATTTCTTATGTTTCATTTTGTCTTTCACTCTTTCTTCTCTCATATTATATTTTCTCTCTGTCTCTTCTTTCATGTCTCTTTTTCTCTCTCTCTCTCTCTCTCCTTGTTTTACTCTTCATATTTATTTTTTTGATACCCTCTCAAATAATATGGGTACTATAGAATTTCTCTTTTTTTATTCTCTTTTTAACTTTTATCTGTTTTCTTTATCCTATTTCTCACCATCTATCTCTCCCTTTTTCTATTATGTCTTCTCTCTCTCTCTCTCTTTTTCTTTTTCTTTCTCTTTTTTCTCTTACTTCCTTCACCCCTTTCAAATTTGATATAAAAAATATCAATAATTTTTAATTATTAAATATTATCTAATATTAATTTTAAAATTATTAAATATTTAAAAATTAACTAATATTTATTTTTTT